GTGCCATTTTCAAAGGTACTCTGTTACACCTGGAGTTATCACAAGGGCACTGGATTCAGGAGAGAAAGCGGGGGAGGGGGGCTGGGGCTAGGCCCCTCCCCCTAAATAAGAGAAAAAAAGGGAGGCGACCACGGGGCTCCAAACAAGCTAATGCTATTTTTTTTAAATTTAAATCCCATAGTCTATGGTTAAGAATTTTAGAAAACTAAAATCTCAAACACCACCCCTCCCCTTCCCGCTAAATTGTCTGGATTCGCCCATATAAAATTATCAATAATTTTTTAATTTTATCAAATGCATAACATTCCCATTCATTATCTAAAATCCTTTAAGTTTAACTTTCATGTACGTCCTCAGTCAAAAAATATTATATAACGTTTGCTTTTCCAATTAGTAGGACCATTGTCGAGCATAACAGTAATCATTTTTTGCAAATTAAAGGTGTGTTTTTGGTCTATACAGTTCACAACAGGTCAAATCGTTAATTTATTTCTAATGGTTTTTATGTCGTGGTTTAGATATATTATATATCATAAATATTTTTGTCTGTTATTAGGAAGCTCTTGGTTGATATTAAAATAGTGATTAATGATGCGTTATTTTACTTTCAGTGCTAATACATCAGTCACTCTTCCACTATTTTTTTTTCTCATTTACTTTTAATCCCACCCAGGAGGTTATGTATTTCCCCAGTGTCGGTTTGTCTGCCTGTTAGCAAGATTACAAAAAAAAAATAATGAATTTCATTTCATTTATTTCTCTCAAAAAAAAAAAAATACAAAAAGACAAGAACAAACAGACGCAATGAGAAACAACAAGAGAGAGAGAGAGAGAGAGAAAAAAACCAAAAAGCGAACTTAATCAACTATCGAGTGGTTGCCCAATGCATACAAATAATACAATTATCAACAGTAAAGATGAATGCCCAGTGGCGGATCCAGGAGGGTTCAAGGGGTTCGGACGAACCCCCTCTGTGAAGAAACGTAACAAAATATATAGACTGGGTCCTGGCCAACGGAGGCGGAAGCGGGGGGGGGGAAGGGGGCTATTTGTCCACTTTTTCTACTGGGGGGCCTGGCCCCCCAATTTTGTTACTGTTCCCAGCACCCAGCCAGTGGCAATCATTTTACGACGCTGCAATGTCATTATTATTATTATTATTATTATTATTATTATTATTATTATTATTATTATTATTATTATTATTATTATAAAATATAGATTGTTTTTTTTTCATTTTCTGACGAACATTACAACTTCCCTTTTTGAGTTGAGCAACCAAATGTTGATTGACGTCTGTATACGTGCGTCTGTCAAGTTGCCTTGAAACCCACCCTCGAGCATCAAGAACAAATCGCCTGCATTCGTGAAATCTGTATTTAGACATATGGGGGAGGTAGGCACTCTTAATGGAGCGACGTTCTCATCTTTATGCTAATACCACGAAGATGTATAGTAAGGGTAACTGATTGGATTACAGTAAACCTTCAAACTAGCGTAATATAACCACATTTAAACTCACGAAAACGTGAATTAAAACAGTTGCCAAGTACCTATTTCACTATTTCATCGGAATAAAATGAGGAATATCAAGAAATACTTAAGGGTCTTTGTTTTATAGACACCCTATATGTATATGGGTGTCTACAAAACGAAGACCGAAAACCAGAAAAACGAAGACCCACATTGTTTTCTCTCAATCGTGATGAAAATAATGTTTTTAAGTCACTTCATGCTATGTATCATATTTTTAGCACATTATTGCCTGAATCTGAGTCTTCGTTTTTGGGTCTAGCCCAACTAGCATTCAATTAAATACAATTAAAAACATTGTTTTTTGCTCGACGTCGCAATAATTTACGTATGAAAGTGTGTTCTTCGGCCCGATTTCATCGATCTATAAGAAAGACTACGTATCCAACTACTCAATATTTTTGAAATATAGGCCTAATAATGTATTGACTATATCTTTGATTTTCTTGTATGGTATAGGCCAAAGGATGAGATAAAATCACCTGACCTTTTTTTTAAAAGGGGTAAAACCTAGAATTTTTTCTCGGCCTAGGAATTAAGATTTTCAAGGGGGAGGACCCCGGACCCCCTTTCATTCTCAGGTTTTTTGGAAAAATTTTGAATCCCCCTCTTTCAAATCCTGGATCCGCCCAATTATCATAAAATTTGATGAAAATGGTACATAATAATATAAAAGAGAAATGATTAACTTTTAGAAAGAAAATGTCAAAGGCAAAGTCAAGGTCATGAAAATTCGACGTTCCGCCTTGAACTTACCCTCGTACAAAAAAGAAAGTAATAGAATCACTCATACACGGCCTGCGTATTGTTTGGTATCCAGGTCCAGGCACAAGGTGGAGGTACGTAATCTATGAAATCTAATAATGTGACCATTATAATAATAATAATAATAATAATAATAATAATAATAATAATATTAATAATAATGATAATGATAATGATAATAATAATAATAATAATAATAATAATAATAATAATAATAATAATAATAATAATAATAATAATAATAATAATTATTATTATTATTATTATTATTATTCAATTTCCATCGCTGCTCTCCTTGTGTTTCAGCTGGAGGGCTGAAATACAAGTTACGATAGCGCACCGTCTTTCGGATGAGACATTTAAGCCTTTGGTCCCGTGTGCATTATGGCCCATCCCGGTGTAGGCCTACTCCTCAATCGCCACCAGAAGGACCCCACTGGAAATAAGTCTTCTTCAGACTTTCGTGGGTTACATTGGTGTTTACACCGAATAAATCGAATCCAATAACACATTTAACTGCTTAAATAACGGGGAAGTCGCAGATTTAAAATAATTATAAAAAATAATACATCGCACACACATTTTTGGTAACAAGAATAGGCTGTAAACATGTTTTATATATGTGCTACCTAACACATCTAAGCCGTACGTAATGCTTGGTTAAATTAAAGTTTTACTGTAGGCCTATATAATACAAATTAAAATATTTGTGAGTACAATGACCGGCTTCAATTCTAATATTTTTGTTAACGTCGTTACTATGATTATTCCAGGTTAGATTTTTTACGGCTACAAACATTACTCTTCGGCTTCTTGAATTGCTTACCATTTACAAATACATTTATCAATGCAAGAGACCTGTTTAATCCTGTTTTAAAAGATAATATAATTCGTTTTACTTACGTTAATAGTTAATTTGTTTGCATTACACCATTCGATAACACATGTTGAATGGTTAATTAAAGAGAGAATATTGTTTCACGATGAAAAATTGGTATCAAATAAATTATCTAATTTGAAAAAAACAAAAAAAACTGGTGGAATTAGGATAGTCGTTGATATAAATCAATGAAAGGGTTGGACCCAACACTGACCTTTGTGGGACTTTAAACATTACCGGATCAAACTTGATCTGCAGCCACGAATTGAGATTTGCCTTTTAGATCTACCAGTCAGACTACCATATACCATAATGTTGCAATTTAGATATGAGCATCCATAAGTATTCGTGTCAAATGCTTAATGTCTATAAAAATGCCAATTGAATTGTTGTTACCAATCAATTTGTTGAAGAAGATGGTTAACTAAACTTATAAGTGACAATTTTGCATTATTGATGTTGTCGAAATAAATCAAATTTTTCCAAAATAATTGTCAGTCTATTATTCACAATTTTTCAGTTTTTTCTAATAAGTTTAATAATTATATTTCATGGTAGCAAAAGTTCTGGGTTGATTTACCAAGGTAATCATGTTTTTCAGGCACAATTTGTAAAGCTACATTTCGGAAGTGATAAAACCAACACAAAATGTAGGCCTAGCAGTTGTTTATCTTTAGAAGCGATTTTCTCTTAAGTACACTTTTGGACTTCTGAAATTGAATGATCTTACTCCGGTAGGTTATCATTTCCAGTAAACTTTCTTATCAAGGGAATTTATCAAATTTAAAACCTCTTCAAATGACGACCGTTAGTGTTAAAAAAAGTTATTGTACTGTACTTGTATATGTATATACAGTATAACAATAAATGAAATCTTGAATATTGAATCTGGAAAAAAAAATTAATTGAATGGTCTGAGGCAGTGGATTAAAAGAACTCATCCTTGCACTAATCTCAGTGTTTAACACCTCACGCCCTTTGTAGGCCAAACAACCTTGGCAATTTGATAGCTTGAAACACTCCTTGTGTGTGTGTGTTTTTTTTTTTTTTTTGTTTTTTTTTCCAGATTCAAGATTCCAGATCCAATTTATTGTCATATATACATATAGGTACAGCACATGAAATTTGTTTTCCTGAGCTGGGAATACACAAAACATATATTCAAATTAAATTACACGACAAATATCAAAAATATATATACAGTGCATAAAATACTTTACAGTTAAATTACAAATACAATATACACAGTAAAGTAAAGATGATTGGCAAACCGTGGCGGTACATGAGTTGTAATCAAATGGTCAAAAGTAGAGATTATCGGCATTTCGCCTATTAAACGGTCTGATTATTTCAGCAGAACACTAGTTCAATTAAAATTTTGTCCAAAAATCGCCATTTGCATATCTACGGGTATTCGTGTTTATTTAGCGAGACTGAATAATTTTGATCATTTTATATCTATTAAATGAGACCTGCTTGATTAATCTTAAACAAATTAAAATAAATCTAATGAAATATACAGAGAAATTTAAATTATGGAAAACATTGGTATATAGTATATAAGGCATAAAAACAGGTTGAGAATTAGTAGAAGAGTTTAAAGTTTTATTACCGGATCGTCGCGTTAGACTTTCACTCCTTGAATAATATTAATATTATTTCCTATTTTGACCACGGCAACCGATCTTATTAATACCTCCATTACTTAGCATTATTATTATTGTGTATTAACAGACTTTTAAACCATCCTTGTTAGGTCAGATAAAGACTTCTGAGGAAACGGTCAGATTCAATAAGGCACTCCCCTTCCTTCGCAAAACGTATAAAACAGATAAATGCAAATATCTTTTCATATATAACGATCGCCAGTAACTGAATCTTCCTCAAGATGTACTGCCTTCTAGGTTTAGTTTGTGCTCTTGTTTCCTTACCTATCGCAACAGCTGTTCACAGTACTCCCTGCGACACTGGACGTACCGGTAGGCGTTTGACTTTTTTACATTATTTTAATCCATGTCCGTAATTTTCGTTTTCAACCTCTTAATTGTCTGTAGATACTCCCAATGGTTGA